TTTTTATTGTTAACATTAACTAATAACTTGTTATATGACTGTAAATAATGTACAAAATATTAAAAATTAATTTTAGACAAATTTCTTTACACATTATTCTTTCACAATGCAGTCATTTTGACTGCTTTGGGCAATATAGGTATATACTAAGTTTCAGTCTTTCTAGTGTTAATTTAGGTGGTGGTAATATGCGTACGTTAACATTATTTTTATTTTGACGCGTGAAAATTATGTTAAAATCCAACAATATCAATGCGAGATCGAGCATCGAAAAAAATAAGATGTTTACTTCTTACTCGTTTTGAATTTTGTCCCCCTAGGGGAGACTAATACATGCACGTAGCTGGCTCAATTTCTCTCTCTCTCTCTCTCTCTCTCTCTCTCTCTCTCTCTCTCTCTCGTTGTTACTAACTGTACAAGAATTTTAAGTAAAGATTAGCATATGTGTGTCAGTTGACACGCCTTTTTAACGTGTAAAAATACGGATATTAGGCTCGGCTGTAAGCGTGAGTATTAATCAAATCTGACAGGAAGATTAACGAGCCCTCCTCGAGGAACGTGAATCTAGCGATCGATGGAATCCGTGTGAAATCGTGAAAGGATCCGCGAGAATGACGTTCCTTCGACGCTCCATTTGCACGAGGAGCAATTGTCCCCGGCTCTGCTATTACGGTCGTTCTTGTTGCACGATCGCACCCAAGAGATGAGGCTTCAAAAGCGCGTTCGTAAATCGAGCCGACGAAACGACGCGGCTCGACCCCGTCGCCGGTAGCGACGATTTTTATTTCCATCGTTCCGAACGGTACATTTGCGTGGGAAACGTTCGCGGTGGGAAAAATAACCGTAACGGGGGAACATTACGCGGTCCGGAGCTAATGGCTAAAACCGAGACGAGATAAAATGAGGGAATTGATCGACAAGGTCCATCGATTCAGTAGACGTAATATGAAAACGTGAATTTTCGTCATCGTAGTCGTCGTCGTCGTCGTTTGATCTCGTGGATTCCGGACCCGTGACGTTTGACAGGGCTCGAATTCGAGACCGGGTCGGATTCGAGAGGACAGACGGAGATCAGCGTCGGGCGAAATAAGTAAATTTAATTAAAGCCCGGGTATGATGGATGAACGGGATCGAACGTACGGTCGAGTGGACAAAGAGATAAGTGGATTTTATTTCTGTGGGAACGAATTTTTCGGAAAAGCCTGGCTCCATCGGGAGTTGGACCGGTGAAACGGGAGATAAGACACGGCGGACGTGACGAGATCATGTAATAATGTAAATGTACCGCGACGTACCAGCGGCGACGATGTAAAGAAAGTTAACGGCGCGCCAGTTAGGCGGAAGGGAGCGATTAAGTGGCGTAGCGTTAAAAGCCAGCCAGCGTAATTAATTAATTAACCGAGCAGGACTTGCTGGGGAAAAAAAGAGCAGAAGAAACGGGCAGTGGTTTGTAATGCGAGTTATCGCACGGTAAACTCTGGTCAATGCGCGGTTTCTCTCGATTAAAACATCCTTTAAGAGTACATAAAATTACGGCGCAAAGGGCTAACGAGTATTTAGTACTGGTTCGGAGAAGGCAGCGAGAAAACGTACGGAACAAACAAAATTACTGTAAGACGATGCAAAAAGAAGATAATTATGAGAACGTGGAACTGGTTTAGGAGGTAGAAAAATCTTAAAGGCGCCGGACGGAGGAAGGTCGAGGTATAAAAACGGAAGGGTTGGGAGAGAGGGGTCTAGGACTAGGAGAATGAACGTCGTATCTGGCTCGGACTTCAAAGTACCTTTCCAACTGCGCTAGTGGGAAACCAGTACTGCGGGAAACAGTGCAAATAGAAGGGACGAGATAGCACGTAAAGAAAAGGGGAAAATGGTAGACGGCGCCGGGACAGAAGTAGTATTAATTTCCTCGAGCCCGGAGGTCCTGGCACATCATTCTCCGGCAGACAGCAGGAAAGACGAATCCCTCTCGCTTCTCTTCAACCGAGTCCCCTGCGAGTCTACCTTTCCCGATATTGCCAACGTTACACACACCGCGTCGTCAAAGCGTTGCGTGAAATTTCGTGAAAATCTCTTCTCGATCGAGCGACTAGGCGGCGCGGCGCGGCGTCGTCGTTTCATCGTGAAATCGAGCGTCCGTCGCTCGTGAAAATCCTGTCACGCGAACCTCACGTTGTTCGATGGAGTGCCGTCACGCCTCGACGTTAAGCATGACGGACGTGTAAATGAATAATAACGCTGGACGGTGTGTTTGCGAATTTTTTTTCACCCGTGATAATTCACTTTCAAGCCTGACCGTACGCACGTATATACGTATACGTACGTCGAGAATTCGCGTGCCCCATTATGCAATGCGAGAAACTCATTCGTCTTAGCTTAGATAAATGATCCCCGTTACCGATTGCATCGCAATTTTAGCTACCGTAAACACATTGGCGCTGGCATTTGCTTGAGAAACGCAAAAGAGATCTCCCTCGCCATTAATTTCGACAATGGTACAGAGCAGGGGGGAAAAGAAGAGTGGCCAGCTAACAGATTCGCAAACAGCTTCCTTATTTTTACGCTCGTATCGCGTTCCGGGTAAAATAATGGCCGGATGTGTTCCCGCTGTAAACACGATTTTACCTACGGCAGGGATTCTCTCTCCCCCGGCGTCGGACGAGTAATAGGCAGGGAACTCACCGCGAATCCGCTTAATCTTTCGGTAAACTAATAAAACTTCGTTAAGACCGTTCGAAGCTCCGGCATTTCCATCGCCTCGAGTGAACGCGACCGATTTCGTTCCTTTTTTTCCACTCCGGTTATCAAGTCGAACGTGAACTCGATCATAAATGCCCCTTTCGAACGGAGTTACGACTCTTGGTTCCCGCGAGGGAGCCGGGAGAGAATCGAATTAATCGGGGAAAAGGCAGAAATTTGAGAAGTCTTTCTCTCCAATGGAATCGTTAACTCGATATTCTTCGGCACAATCGAGGATTTCAATTCTGTTGAACAAACCTGATTTCTGATGCTTCCTATAAAAGGAACTCCACTAATTACTCCGATAAATAATGCAATTTCTTTTTTTTTTTTTTTTGCCCCTCGATTCGACACCGAAGGAACTTGCGTATCTGTCGAAAATCGATTCTGGGGTATAGCGAAACAATTTTCATTGGAAACTTGACGTACCTCTGTAAACGGTGTATAAACTCGAAGGGAATAGCGTCGCAGCTATCAGGCTGATTTACAATGTTTACTCCCGAGGGTAAACCGTTAGTTTCTAGTCGTCTATTATCCCTCTGGTTTGTACACCGAGGATATAACGTAAATGGGACTGAGACGAACTAACAACCGAGACAAAACAACGAGCATTTTACTTTTTTAACATCGACTTCCCGGGACGATCAATTATCGCTAAACGACTCGCTCGGGGATGAAGAATGAGAATAAAGTAATACCTATTGTCATCTATTGTTTCGCAGGAGCCGTTGGTGGCGAAGGCGGAGACGAAGATGATAAGGAGAAGGAAGAAGAGGCCGAGAGAGAAAGGCAAGAAGCCATCAGGGAGGCCGAGGAGCGGAGGAAGGAGAAGCACCGCAAAATGGAAGAGGAACGAGAGAAGATCCGACAGGAAATCAGGGACAAGGTAGGAGATAACTGCAGTTTCCTTTTTTGAATATTACGCGTCGCTGGGACGAGGTATAGTAAAGGTTTGAATAAAGAGAATATAGATAAACTATAATAAAAGGCATAGCAGTACTCGTACGCTGAGATCGATCCGCTCTCAAAGGAAACTCGTTGGGAAATGCGAGCCATTGTACGGGAAAGTAGTAACTGGAAGGAGCGTACGAATGATAAAATGCTCCGAATCGAAAGTCTCGCGCTTATTTACAAATGCACGCAAGCTTCCGAAAGCCCGAAGGCACGTGGGATACGTCTATACGCGCGCGTTTCTCGAGAGTATCTTCTGCGAGAAACGCTCGAAAATTTCAAAGGTTCGCTTCGACGCCCGTCTAAAAAGGCACGTTAAAGCGGGATATTTTTCCAGAGCATCCTCGCGATATACGCGCACACGTACGCGGAAAATAACTCCGCAAAGATTTCGGTTTACGGGTATTCCATTGACCTCGGGTCAGTTAGTTTAAACAGCTACGAAAGGGGTGAGAGGTTCTATTTCGAAAATTCGAAATCATCGTGCAGGAAATGACCGAACTGATTCTTCGCGGTAACTGGAAATTTTCAATTACGAAGTCTCATTTTCCTTTCGATTCTCGCGCGGCCCTCCGCGTTCTCGCGAAGATACGCCGCGCGGCATTTTTCCAGGACAAAAGATTCCCTCCCGGTTTTCGTGGCGAACGCCTTTTCACGGCTGGCCGCTGGAATACGAACACCTGGCCTCCGTTTGCCGATGGATTCGCCGGATACGACCTGCCGGAGTACTCGGCTACCTGCTCTCCATTTCTCCAAACGGAATTTCATCCCCATTTTCCGCGGGCATTACCGATAAGAATACTCGTTCCACGGATACTTATCGACTCCATCGATTATATCGCTTTCCACGATTTCCGAGCAGACATTGACGGAATTAATTCCACCCCCTCTGCGCCATCCGTCACCACGCTCGGAATCTAATATTTTATCCCACCCCCGTTCTACCTCTCGAAGATTGTCGCGATCGAACCACGAAAGATTACCGCGTAAACCGTAATGTTCGCCGCCAGCTGCGGTAAATCTCATCATTCTCGTGTGTCACGTGCATTGAAAAATGATTCTCCCAGTTTATTATTGCCCCGAGTCCAAGAATATTAATTAATAACCCGTTCGTGTCGCGTCATACATTTTAATTCTCGAGCACTTGCTCGTCGTCGAGGTGTACGACGTGTCGACCGGTGGAGTTAATGACGGATCACGAACTCGCATGTTAATTGCCAAACGCTCATTGAAATTTTCATCGATACGAGTAACAAGAATCACAAACAGTACGCGGCCCGCGGATTAACTATAGTATTCCAGCGTCGAGTTTAAACGTTAGAGCGGAATGCGGCCGCTCGGGTTTACCTATCCTCGCTGATCCGCGGTGTCAATAGGAAATAGAGTAATTATCTAACGAAGCTGATTTCATAATTCGAACGAGAGAGAGACGGTGTGTTTCGCCGGGCTGCAATCACGCTAATTAGTCGTGACCGGGCCGATGATACGTAACCGTTTGATCAACGGGGAACACCCATTGTTCACGGGCCGTTCGCGGTTTCGTAATCGTCCCACTTCGCTCCCTGGTAATGACGCTAACGAATAATCCTCGACCAGGCGATTATTTTCACTGCAAACTTTCGGAGGAGGCAACAACGTTCCGATCGCGAACAATACGTGATAATGACGTCCCGTTCACGGACCGCCCGCTCGAGTGTCGCCGAGCGCGAAAAATACCGTTCATTTGACCGTTGCACCGTGGCCCAAAGCCGATTAATGCGTTTATTTCGCTAAACGCGCTTTTCCACCCGTCTGCGAAAACGATCGACTGTTGTAATCGCGTTCTCTCATCGGACGAACGCTCGCTCGTTCGCTCGTTCTCTGTGGACGCCAATTCGTGACGCTCGCGTCGGTTACGAATTTCATTACGAAAACGCGGCGGTTTTCAAAGAATTAGAGGACAATTATTAATATCCGGTGGAAAATTACCGCGCGGATCTTGCCGTGCAAATAGAAGCAGAATTATTCGTTGGACAAGGAGACGTTAATCCGGCAAACGTCACCGAAAAGATAAATTGTTCGAGATGGGCGAGTTTCGTGGTGCTTACTCGTTTGCTCGTACGTAGAGGAGAGGAGACGACCTTTCCAGCGGGAACGGTGCCGACTTAAAATGCAAATTTGATTACGTAGCGGCACGCTGCCGGAGCAGCCCGTCACGTTCGCGGCCTGTTCCTCCACATCTAAATATGTCCACACGCGTGCACGTACGCGTTTCCAGTTTCCACCGCGCGACTGTTTATCACGAGACCCTCGCGTATAAACCGGCAGCAGCGAGCTAATTTCCGTTCGTGCCGCGGTGAATAGCGCGACTTCCAAGCTAAGACGCGAAACAATCTACGCTGGTGTGTGCCAGTTTTCAAAAGTAAACTCGATTCCAGCAAATACATACGAAAAATTCGCTGCTCTTCACAACTCAGGAATTAAATCCGGTGACTTTTTTTACTTTTTAACTTGATCGCCACGTTAGTACAGAGTGCCGCAGCAGAGAACTCTTTGACGCTCGGTGAATTCGGTTGACGAAAATTGTTCGGCAAGTTCTCGCGACGACATCGGTGAAACATTTACGCGAACGTGCCCTGAAACGGAATTGTTTATCGTGGAACGCGTAACAAAAGGCGATCACAGTTTGCCAGGCTCCGCAGCAAACCGAGCCTTTTTTTTTTTTTGTTTGCCCAGGCCCCGGGAGCGAGCAGTGGTTGATAAAAAGGGAAGAACAAACGTTTATACAATTTGTTTAATCGTCGCGAATTCGAGATATTTGTTAGCATTATGAAAACCCGTCGCGGAAAGATAATTTCTTTGGCATAAACCCACCGCACGACGAACCTCGGGTAGCGTTCGAATGCTTTTCGAACGCGACCGATTTACCGCGAAACAAACGTCCGTGGATGAAAAAAAAGAGAGAGGAGAACACGACCGGGACAAAGAGCGGAGAGATGGAAAAGGACAAACGGATGTCACGCGAAATCGTACCATTGTCAATTCTGATGTATTGTCCTGTCAGGACGTAGTCAGCGGCGTTGACATGACCCAGATGGAATCGAGGGCTCTTACACCGTATAATCGAGGAAAAATAGCGGTCCGCATTGTACGTATTAAACGAATAACTCTCGAATCATCGGCACAGACGTCGCGGCAATTAAATCTTTCGACCGACGCGTTTGTTCGTCGAGTGGCCCTAAAATTATATCCGCGAACGAAGATATCCGCGTTTCCAAACCGATCGAGAGCTAATGGAGAACGCTGCCATTGACGTAGAGAACAGAAATTTCCCACGCGTTACAAATATGTTTAATCGAAAACCTCTTAACCGTATTAAAAACGGAAAATTTTGCGGAGCTCACGGAGTCTCCTTCGAATCCGAAGTGAATAGCCGACTGACCGAATCTGAACGAAGGCACTCATTGAAACTCGCCGGAAAATGCAGATTGCGAAAATTGAAACCGCTCTTGGCATTCGCGTGGGCGGCAACAAGCATCGTTTCGTTTCTGAAATATCACTCCCTCTCTCGCGTAAAACGGAATCGTATACAGGTATCTCATTACCCGGGACTCGAGTTCCGAATGATTTTGAATCCACTCCGGACAGGATACACTTAAATCGCGCAAATTATAGAAATTCCACCGAGACTTCTCCATTTCCCGCGGGCGACGCGATAATCCGGATCCAGTTTCATCGAACCCCCCGCGCCGAAGTTCAACGTGACGTCCCGGGATCGCTCGGTCAGAATTAATAAAGATTGATACTTCATTAAGCGAGACACCGAAATCCTTCGCGAAAGTCTTTTTACGATATTTCCCGGGGAATCCCTCGCCCGGGTAACAACGAACAAAAAAAAGCTCCAGGTATAATAACATCGAGAACTGATCCCTTTGGGAATGGAGATGTATTCTTAAGCGGGAAGCTAGCTAGCCGGCCTGCAAGAAGCTTTTCTTAGGTAATCGCGCCGGCACCACAGGATCAAACAAAATCCGATTACGAGCCCTGGCTAATGATCACCAAGAAGAGATTTCGTTATACCAACGAATCGGGAAATTCCGCTTCGGGACCTCCCGAGAATATTCTTACGTAGGATAATTAAAAATACCGGAACGTCGGCCTCGATTAAACCCCGGATGATTGCTAACCAATTAAGGAAAAACGCGAGGGGCAATCTTATTACTGTACCGCAGATTGTACGCATTCATACACTAATTATTCCCGTGGAAAATTGGAACGCTGTGTACAGTATATAAAACGTGAATGCACGTTGCAATAATAGAAATTTTAATCTGAAATGCATTTTTTTTTATTACACATAAAAATTCGCAGTCTACTCGTCGCGATTACTCCGTTCTAATCATCGAATTTCCTGATCAGTTAGACGTAACGACGTCGCGTCTCTCGTTTTTCAATTAATTAAAAATTCGTCAGATAATGGCGATGGGCCAACACCCGTTCATCACGATTGTTCGTTGGATCCGGTCTACGCACGGACGCCAGCATGCCTATACCAGTCTGATAGATTCTTCTAATTAAAAATTTCTCTGTTCAATCTCGGGTAACGTTAATGGAACAAAAATGCTCGGGACAAATATTCAATTAAGCATTCTTTAAACTGATCATTTCCTTCCCAATTATTCCAATCAACAGACGTTTGTGTAAATATCAGAGAAATCTTGTTAATTTTCATGATATTGTCTCAGCTTTATAAAATAATTTTTCCGCGAGAATTCGAATAAACATGAAACGCACGATGATTCGAAGCGATATCGTTGGTACCGGTCGGTCAATAATTGTTGGCATACATCAAGTGTTACTGATGTGCAAACTTCCGACGAGGAATAATTTCGAAGAAAAGCTAATTTGATTCGTTTCTATAACAATGACGCAAACGCAAACTTGCGCAACTGTTTC